GGTGCAGAGGGAGGGGCATGGGCAGACCCTGTCCCAGACTTCTAAGCTTGAAGCTGCAACCCGGGGCCCTGCCTCATTTACCAGGGAATTGGGGGCCTTGTGAAGCGAGAGAGGAGAGCTGCCTGGACCCCCCGGTTCTGGGGCACTGCCCCTTAGTTCTTGCACTGTCCTGGCTGAAGACCACCTTTTCCCGGTGTGGGATGAGCAAGCTCTTTCACTGAATTCTGTTATCCAAGATGGCTCAGCCTTTGAGGACGGATACTTAGCTTATACTCTCCCCTCCTCTCCCTTCTCTGCTTTTTGTGCCTGTGGCATTGAAACCTGGAGCTCTCTTCACATCTGTGGGCCAGAAAACGGGGTATGTCTTCACGAGCCCCTGTTTTCCTTCTTTAAGGCTTCAGATGCATCAAGGTACTTCTTGATGCCAGTTGTCTGTGTCCTGGGTTGAGAATCTTCATGTTGCCAGCACCATGTCCCTCCCCCCGTTCTTTTACTGCAAGCTGAGCTACAGCCAAAGTTGAGTTACGTCTTGGTTCATCATCCTCAGAAATTTCAGAATCATACTGTCGTATTAGGCATTGACCTTGATAAGCTTCCCTCAGTTGGATCGTGCAGCTGTTGGCCTCCAAATGTTGGGGTATGCTCAGCTTCCCAGATACTTTTTTGAGAAGGAAATTCTTTTTTTACCCATGTGTACTGGGGAGTGTATCCTACTCCCCCCTCCATATGGTACCCCTCTCCTCCTTCCCCAGCCTGGAGTTGGGGAGGGTCTGCTTCTGTGGGGGGCCAGGTCCTGAGAAGGGGAGCAGCGGGGGTCAGAGCAGAGGTGGGAGGACCAGGCAGGGTTGCTGCCCTTCTCTGCTGCCTCCGGCTGCCCTTTTCCTCCCTCTCTGCCCCCCAGTTAATCTCCTTTGCTGGTGTCCCTATTAAGCTGGCACAGGAGGCTCTTGAGATGGCAGGTGGTTAGCTGGGAAGGGAGTAATGTTGGTCTTTCACTCCTTAAGGCCAGAGGGAGACTGTGCTTTTACCCTGAGGCTCAGCACCCTACCTTCTTCCTGTCAGGGACCCTGGAACCTGACACCCATTCCTGTCCCCTTCCTGAGCCCTGCTGCCTCTGTCCTCCCCTTTTTCTCCCATCCCCTTCTAGTACATCCGATTAGCTGGCTGGGCTGTGGGCATTTGTTGGGGTGGGGCTGGACTCTTGGGGCCTCTCTGCTGACTTCTTGGGAACCAGCGGGGCCTTTGGAGAAAGAGCTGGCCAGGTTTAGCTTTGTCCTGCTTGGGGGGCTGATGCCAAGTACCTGCTCGTTGAGGGGCCTGACTGAGGTTCCTGCCTTGGGCATGGAAGGTGCTGGAGAGCCAGTCTCCTGAGGTAGAAGCTGTCATGGGGAGACTGAGGCAGTGAGGGTGGGGTGGTGGTAGGATGGAATGGCGAGCAGGAGCAGCAACTGGAATAGGGAGGAGGGAGGTTACAACCTGGGGGGTGGGATTAAGGCAACGAGGGAAGTGGGATGAAGATGATGAGAGAAGCAAAGAATTTGGGGCTGGATGGATGTAGAGAATGTGGGCCCCACTGTCAGAGGGGCTGTCGCTCTGAAAGGATGGAGGGATTTATGATGCAGGCCTGGGGAAGGGGTGAAGAAACAGAGGCCAGAGGTGGGAGTTTGCTGGGTAGAAGGCTGGGGGTCCTAGGGTGGGAGGAAGAGGAGTTGGGGGTTGGAGCTGGGATTTGGAAAGAGATGAGAGGTGCCCAGGCCAGGGCCGGAGAGGGGGCTGTGGGAGGGCGGAGAGAGGGGAGCCAATGGGCTGGAGGAGAGGGAGGGGGAGGAGCTGGTCAGGCCCCAGGGCCTTCCGCACCGCACTGGCGGGGGAAGAGGAGGCGGCCTGGAGCCCGAGGCACTGGGTCGGCCCCAGTGACACTTCCATCCCTGTCCCCAGAAATACCGCTACCAAGATGAAGACACACCCCCTCTGGAGCACAGCCCGGCCCACCTCCCCAACCAGGTAAACGCCCCCGAGCTGGTGCACGTGGCGGAGAGGAACTTGTCCCACCTCGAGGCCGTCCACGGGGTCGTGGGCCGCGCCCATCTCTCCCCCCTCAAGGTAGGAGACTCGGGCAGCCCCTCCCCGGTGCGGCCCTCGGAGCCTCGGAGCGACAACCACCCTCCAAGGCCGGTAGGGCGGTAGCCAAGCTGTGTAGGTGGAGGAAGGCTGGGACTGGGCTCCTGGGGCCTAGGGGAGAGGGTATTTGGGGGGCTGGAAACCTTGTTCCTACAGAAGAGGAGCAGAGGCCAGGCAAGTGGGAGTGGGTGCAGAGCTGAAAGCATGGATGTGCGTGTGTCTGTCTGTCTGCCTGCGTGTCTGCGCGCATATGTGTTGAGATGTGTGCAGGATGCTCACCAAGCCCAGGGCTACTCCATTCCTTCACAGTCCCTGCCTCTGTTCACGGTCTCCGTGTCCAGAGCTCTATTCAGAGCTCCTGCTGCCCTCATTAGCTCTGGTCCCTTCCCTGCCTCCTCCCCCCACTTCCCGCTCCTGGGCCCGGCTCTCCCTGCCTCCCCGGTCTCCAGTCCTTTCCATCTGTCTGGCCTGAGACCTCTGGCTGGGGAGCCCTCTGCCTCTGTCCCCGGCCCCAGCTTTTGCTCTGCTCTGTGCTTCCTCCCCTCCTCGCTGCCCTTCCCTCCCTGCTGGCTGGTTCTTGATGCTGTCTCTCTCTCCCTCCCACGCACTCGCCTCCCTCCCCCGGATCCCCGCTCAGGCCCTCTGTGGCCTGCTCAGTCCTCTTCAAGGGTCAGCCAGGCACCCCTCCACCCCCTCCCACTTACCCCTTCACTGTTCCTCATTGCTCTCCCCCCTCCCAGGCCTCCCCTCTCCTCCTCTTGGGCTCTCATTTCTGCCCAGATGTTTTCTCTGTGTCCTGTCTGTCCCCCGTTATTATTTATGACCACCTGTTTCCCTCTCTCCTGTGTGCCGGAATCTGAGTTTCCTTCTCCCGTCCGGGGAGCCTTGTTTCTGAGACGTCCCATTCTCTAGGCCACTCTCATCTTCTTCCCCCTCGGTCTCCTCTTCCGGGGGCACAGGATGGGGAAGAATGGAGAGCACCAGGCAAGCTGTGCGATCGATCGAGGGGAACATTGTGGGCTCAGGGCTGGGCTTTAGGGCTCTTGCGGGATGCCCTTGGAAGGGGGACTTTGCTGATCACACTGAGAAGGTGGGGAGGAGGTCGGAGCCTAGGGATGAGGAGGCAGGGAGGGGCAGCAGCAGGTTCTGGGGTGAGAAGGAGGTGGCTGGCAGGAGAGGAGCTGGAGAGAGAAAGACCATTCTCTGGCGTTAGCAAAATGGAGAGACAGCAGAAGGGTAAGAGGTCCCAGGGCAGGGGACAGACCGGCTGAGACTGAAATCAGGGTAGCAGGCTGAGCTGACTGAAAGGAAGGCAAGGAAGGCCCCGGAGCTGGGGAGATGGTGAGACGCTCTGGGG